TTTTGCCTAGTTAGTTTTGACATAAATGCTGGTAAATGTTTTGAATAGCGTATATTATTCAATTAATTAAGATTTTTAGTTGAGATAAAAAAGTCAGTGTCACGAGCGGGATTCGAACACATGACCTTCGGCTAGATACGCCGCTACTCTACCACTTGAGCTATCTTGTCTTCGATCCATTAAAGCTCTCCGTGGCCATTTCATTTGTCGCCGAGATTCAAATAGATTGCAGGACATTTGAAAAATGGCAAAAAGGAGGGAAAAAATTCAAAAGGTGAAGTTGAGATGGGAAGTTAGTGTCCGAGTGGATCAAAGTCACGATAGCTCAAGTGGTAGAGCAGCGGCGTATCTAGCCGAAGGTCGTGGGTTCGAATCCCGCTCGTCACACTGACTTTTTTATCTTGACCAAAACCTTTCATAAATATTTTTTGATTGAACTAAACTCAACTAAAAACCTTAATTAATTGAAAGATAAAAAATGGTTAAGCGGACCACGAGTGAATTGTATATTATTATCATTCAAAACTTCAATTTTGTAAACCTACTAGTTTAGTTTATTTCAAACTTGAAAAAATGGTTATTTCATTCACTCTCAACGTGACACGCAAGAATGGCACAATTACACAGAAGACAAACACTTTGAGCCCTGAAGATGATCTCAATAAAGATCGAAACGTTGGCACGATAAAGAAAATGTTTTTTCTGAATCCTACATCACACTAGACCGCATCTCACGATTTCTGAATAGTTATTTCATTCCTGTGAACCAAATTGTTTAGGCAAGTCAATATTCCCATATTTCATATTTTCATAACGGTGCATAATTTTTTTACAAATAAATTCAAGGTAGAAAGGGTTAAAGAGATTATTTGTTTTGCATTTGGATTATCCACTTTGTGGGGCACCGTAGACGAAACACTGATGGCCCCACCCACCTTCCATGCAATCTGCCATAAAAAAATTGAAAGTTCCGTTAATTCTCCCACAATGGCATTTGCCCATAACGCAGGACCATCCAAGTGAAATTGGCTAACACCCTATCTAAAGGTTTGATATTCCATTTGTGTCCAACGTTTCCTATGTGAAAACGAATTTTTGCCCCAGCTTATCTGAATTGGCTCACACGCGAATTATTCTCGTTTGAAACAATAGATCCGTCAACGCCTACTAGCTTCCTGTTGGGGTTTATCGCAAATTCACATACTTGGCCCACTGTTCAGACTTAGCTTCTTTATTATCTCTGAATTAATTGAAATAAAAACCCGTAACTTTTGCGTTATATTATTTTTTACAATATATCCTCTTACACGTGGCAAATGGCTCCGCCGAAGCAAAAAAAATCACTTGGTAAAAAAATAGTGTAACATTTAGAACACTTCTCATGATTTAGGTTTTTTTAAATAAAGGGTCAAGGCTTGCAGGGAACCCAGGTTAAATTTATGTGCTAAATCAATAGGGTAGCCTTCTATTTTTGGAACTGAATAGTGCTGGGTGTTGATGCAAATTATATTACGGTTTTAAATATGAAATTACCATTAAGTTAATTTTTTTCTTTTTGAATGAATGAATGAATGAATGATTTATTGATATAAGAAGATATACATAATTATGCATTTCATGAAAGCTATTATTGGCAATGGTCTTTGCCCTTTTGTCGAGTTACCATTTTATAGTTCTTTTTTGTTAAATTATTATTGTATTTTTTCTTTCAATAATTACAGTACTAATTTCAATGTCTATATGTACATTTTTTATTATTGTTATGTATTGGTATTACATTTTTAATTTTTTTAAAATTAGTTATTTGTCTATTTTATTGGTTTTAGCATTTCGAGTGGTCGATAAAATATTTTTTATAACAAATAGAGTGAGTAAGGTATGCCATACGATTTCTCCAGTTATTCCGTTAAGGATTTTAATGACTTTTTCTTTATTTAGCTTCTCTTTGCAAAGTATTTCTGTCAGAACTCTCTTAGGAAATGAAAAATATCTTCCGGGATTTGAAGTTGCATAACGAGTAAATGATGATGCGTTCCTTTGACCCCTCATCCTTAACATACAGACACTTCATATGTTATCATTTTGAAGCAATTCATGTAGTTGCGTACAAGTTGTGAAGGGATTTCCACCAGGGATTACAAGACCATTCTTTTTACTTGCCTCCCATTTTTTAACCAGGTCAGTAGTATTTTAGAGGATTTCAGCTTATCCCTACTTACTCCTTCACAGTACAGCCTACCTAACTCTGACAGCTGCTTAAACGACAATAAGCCTCTGTTTATTGCAACGTTGGCCAGAAAATGCGTCAACCTGCCAAGTGTGTGGTTCAGCACTTTTCTAATATATTTCAGATGCAGTCTCAAGATGTAAAGCGGTGTGGCCGAGCTCGCTATGTATAAAATACAGTACGGGGTGCTAATTGACAGCCAGAAAAGTTTCTTAATAAAGAATTTCTGGACTTTTCTCTATTTCATGAATGCATAACTAACCTGGGTACCGTAACAAACTCCAGATCTCAAGTGTGCTCATAACTATCACCATCTTTTTTCTCTTGAAATCTTGTTGATAATGATTCTAGATTTAACAAAACATTTAGGAAGCAATTTTTATGTTACATAAACTATTAACGGCGTACTTAGAGTGCTGATGTTCGGCAGTGATACTTCATCTACTAAGAAGTAGTGAAGGAGAATTTTTAGCAAAAATCAATTGTGTTAAAATGAACTTATTGGATGCTTATTTATATCTATTTTTATATCTCTACAAAAATCGTTATAAATTTAATTTTTATTGTTAAAAAATTATAGTAAGTACATCTATTGCCCAATTAATATGACCCAAATGTTCAATTGACTCCACAGGTATAAATAAGCAAAAAATTCAAATATTTGGTTATATAAACGCAATTTCAGTTTGATTGAGTTGCACCTACTGTGCAAATTATTTTCGAAATGTGAGTATGCCAGTAAATCAACAAACCGAAAATTAATAATATAATAATAATGCTTTATTAAAATTAATAAAATAATAAACAAAGAACAAAAGTATATACAAGCATTAAGAATGCGGCATGACTAACCGTCTGCCAGTGGTCCCCCAAAAATAATATTTAGAAATAAATAAATACATTTAAAACTTCCAAATAAAGCAAAACAAAAGCTACAGAACGTAAGCTCGTATGCAAACGTATTACAGGAAGAATGTAATAATAATAAAAATAATAATACAATAATAATAAAATGAAAGATAAAATCAGAGTATTAATAATAATAATAATAACAACTATCAGAGTACACTGTATTACAAATTATAAACAAACTAGTACCATGAATCACGGATAAAACATGCAAGATTTTCACTTTTATCATTTACTTAATCTGTTTACTTACTTATTAATCAAGTAAAGGGAGCAGCCGAGTCCTTGACAGTGAAAACCAAAAATTGTATTACTGTATAATTTAATTTTTTTTAAACACGTAAAATTTTAACTGTAATCTAAAGTGAGTACTTACAAAGCACAGAAAACGGAAATCAATTCTTATCAAGAGAAAAATGAAGATGTTTATATGCAATTGTCATTAAATGAAGATCGGTTGTGTTCAATTAAACATTAACAGGCACAAAATAAACGAATTTTTCGCATGTAAATTTTGTGAAAATTCGAACTATTGTGTAAATTTGTTAAATATCATGTTTTGGATGGATACAATTTAATTTCATTTAAGAATATTAATTTTTTTCTTTTTATGGTCTATTTTTAATGTCCATGTTAGTTTTACCAAAACGAGGTTCATTGTTGGCAAAATAATTAATTTGTAAAACTGGTAATTAGGGTCCAATTAGGCTAACTAGCGAATATTGCCCTGACAGTTATCTTCTGGTCAATATGTCAGTCAAATATATTTCCATGGACGTAGCAGACCAGCTGGTTCTTATTCTTAGCCACATACCTTAATCAAAACTTATTGTCTTAAAATCGTAATTTTTAAGTACGAAGCATAAACACAAATAGAATTATTTATATAAGTTTATACAAAACTTAAGTTGAACAATATTTTCTGGCTTTAACTTATTCCGTACATCGTGAGATGCGGTCTGGTGTGACGTAGGTTTTAGACGAACATTCTCTTTATAGTGCCAACGTTTCGATCTTTCTTGAGATCATCTTCAGGCCTCAAAGTGTTTGTTTTCCGAGTAGATGTGTCATTCTTGTCGGTCGTGTTGAGAGGACCAACTAATTTGATGTTTTTCTAAAACCTACGTCACACCAGACCGCATCTCACGATCACCGAATTAACTAACGGTCACTAAACACCACATATTTTTCCGTACAGTTAAAAAAATAGACAATTAACAAAAAGTTTAATTGTTTCAAAAATATAGTTTAAAACCGAAGAAATATAGTTTTAAAAACCTACAAAGAATGGTAAATAATCAAGTTAATTTCAGGGTATTTAAATTTTAAAAAATTAAATCTTTTGGACAACAATGATGCCAAACAAATAGACTTCCATTAAACGTTCCTCTACTTTATGGAACATGCCAGCGTGAAAAGCACACGAGCTTTTCTATAGCTTAAGTGGAGAAGTGCTGCTTTATTGAAGTAGACAGGGATAAAATTTCAATAAAGAGGCAAGAACACATAGAAAAAGCGTTGATTGGTTATAAATTTTATATCTTTATGAAAAAAAGGCAGAAAAAAGAAAAAAACATATTTTTTGAACTGGAGTGAATAAAAATATACCAAAACATACAGAAAATGTATAAATAATAAAAACGACCACAATTGGCTTAGCACAACTCAATCCTCGATCTTTTTAATCAAAACAGAAATTTGTTTTCATGCCAATTACACCTTATGAATATTTGATTGCGACTATCAAGCCATCCCAAATAATCTTTTTTATACTAATCAGATGGAAATGTAAGGGTCTTTCAATACATGCAACGGCCAAAATGAGTTAGTATTAATTTACTGAATTTATTTATCGTCCACTTACTTAAGGTACGACTAGAGCTTTTTTGTCCAAGCGTAATTCCAAGCTCATGTGGAACCTGTGAAAACAGTAACGAAATTTAAATATTCATCTTATTATTAACAGTTTATAAATAACATCTTATTATATAAGTTTATAAATATATCCATTATTTTAGAGGTCCGATTGACCAAATAACTTCTTTCAATTAATTAATCTTTATGTAATGTTTTTAGTTGATATGAAAAAAAGTAAATGGCACGAGAGGAGGGGTTGAGATGGGGAGTTGATGTCCGAGTGGATCGAGGTCACGATAGCTCAGGTGTTAGAGCAGCGGCGTATCTAGCCGAAGGTCGTGGGTTCGAATCCCTCTCGTGCCATTAACTTTTTTTCATCTCAACTAAAAACCTTAATTAATTGTAAAGTATTACTTCAGTCAGTCAAGCTGACCACGAAATTAGTGAATTTATGTAATGTATTGGTTGAAATGAAAAGTGGTCGAGTGTAGTAGCAGAAGGTCGTGGGTTAGAATCCCGCTCGTTACACTAACTTTTGCATTTCAACCAATAACTTACATAAAGATTAATTAATTGAAAGAAGTTATTTGGTCAATTGGACCGTGAAATAATGGATTTAGTAAGTAAAACTAAGTATCATCACTAAAGCTCTTCGAGGCGATTTCATGAGTCGCCGAGAATCGAGTCCTGATTACCTGACATTGGGGTACGAATGGGTACTATGCGTCGCCAATAGCATCTAATACCCAACTCCGACTTTCCTACTTCACGAAGATCACGCGGGTGTACCCTGTTAATTTAACAAACGGATAGAGGGGTTTGGAGGGTCAGGAGCTGGACCTGAAACCTCCTAATCCTAAACCAAATACCTTACCCGTCTTCCCGCCCTACACTCTATCCTAGGCCCACATTCCAGCCCAAATCCAAGTTGTGATATGCGATCCGTGCCGATGGATGAATGGTACAGGGATAACTGTGCCAATAACGGAGCCTCAAGGGCACCAAGCGACACCCTTGAGTAAATAGCGTTACACCAGAAAGAGGGCTCCTCCGGTGCGGACCTTTAGATCCCTCTCACTCGTGGGAACTATATGGAAAAAGCTACAGTAAACAAAAAACACCTTAGGAACCTGCAAAGGAAGACCCCAAAAATCAACTCATGGAAATTGAGGAGGGCTCCGAACCCTCTTTCATATCATTCCATAACCCAAGAATTGGAGGACAATCTTCTTGCGTCACCTTCTGCAGATGTTCGGGGGGTCTTCGGGAAAAAACCAAACCAGAACACGAAACTACTCCAATGAAAGTGACGGAGAAGATTAGAGAAGTACACTTCGGTCATTCAAGCGGCAATACATGCCATCAATGCTTGTGCCCTGGAAAATCTTAAAAGAGGTTACACTGACAAAAAATCCTCATAAGATCAGATAGCCAAGCAGCTATTAAAGCATTAGCATGTAAATGAATTACAACAAAATAATTCAGTGAATGCATCCAAAATCTCCAAAATCTGGGGAAACACAACAACCTGATGATATCAGGGGTGCCAGGGCACAGGGGGATTTTGGGTAACGAGAAAGCAGACAGACTGGCCAGAGGAAGATCTGCAAGACCATACATAGGCCCCGAACCTATTCTTGGGATAACAGAAACAAATATAGAATCGTCCATCGCACAATGAATCCAAGCTAAACAAAAGGAGAAGTGGATAAACTCTAGCGGTGCTAGAAATAGTAAACATATGATGAAACAACCCTCACCGAGACTGGCAAAAACACTGCTGCAATTCGAGAGAGCCAAACTCAGAGGAGTTGTAGGACTACTAAACGGTCACTGGTATCTGAGAAAACATCTACACAACATGGGTATATACAGCGATGATCCCATTTGCAGATTATGTAATTAGGAGCAGGAAACAGCCACTCATATCATCTTCGAATGCGAAGCAACAGCTCAATGGAGGTTTAACCTAACGTACGGAAAAGACTTACAGAATCAAATTGCAGCAGCAACAGTCAACGACTTGATACTTCTAAGAAGAAGGATTGAGTTTATTGACTGAACTAAGGAACTAGGAAGGTACAATAAGCCAGAAGGCTGCACTTCCGGGGGAATCCAAACCCAGCTTTCTAGTAACCTTTTCCACCATACCATACTATACCTGACATTTGAAAAATGGCAAAAAGGAGAGAAAATTCGAAAGGTAGGTTGAGATGGGAAGTTGGTGTCCGAGTGGATCGAAGCCAAGATAGCTCAATTGGTAGAGCAGAGGCGTAATTAGCCAAATGTCATGGGCCCTAATCTTGCTCGTGACACTAACTTTTTCATTTCAATCAATGCCTTACATAAAGATTAATTAATTTATAAATGTAAGTGATACAGGACACTCATGTGAGACCCCCGAAAGACGTTTTGTCCGCCTTACACGTGTTTATAAACAATTATCTAGTTAGGTAAATGTGTTTTTTATTTTACTATTAAGAAAGTCACTAAGAATAAAGTTAAAACAATAAAAATGGTAAAATCAACAAAATAGAAAAAAAACATGTTTTAAAAGCTCTATAGTGAGGGCATATTTACTATTAATGGCAACATTGGAGATCTATAAGTTTTCCAATATAATGTTAAGTTAACCATGAAATTACGAAGTTAAGAATCCTCTTAAACCTATATTTTCTCAATGACTCTTCTCCACCAAACGTTTAGAAAAGTTTCTTAAATAAGTAAATCGAGATTATTTTTGCAGTAAAACGCTTAGTTGTTTACTGCACTGATTACTTTTGATGACAAAATGCAAACATTTTTAAAAAAAGTTTTAATTCAAATGTTTTGCTTTGAGATACGTAGTTTTTATCTCTTCGCTAGAACATAGTATTCTAAATATCAACAGCTCCTGTTTATCAACATAACCTTGTTAGCAGAAAGCTAAAATCTTATCGGCCCCTACAAAATCCTCACAATGGCCGTACAATATTTATTAAATCGTTGCTTGAATGTTCACCTTCTACGCATTCAAAACTCTGAGAAGCGAGATGGCGAGAAATTATGAAAAGACTGTAGTCCTTTAAGACATTCATTTAAATTATGTATGCACTGTGCTACATTCAAATTTGATTATAAAATACACGTTTTACTCTCGTCTTATCTTAATTTCGGTTAAATAAACATTGTTTTATTGATTAGTACGACAATAAATCATTAAATGTTAAATTATATTCAACAAGTTAAATTTACATTCACTAAGCAATAATAAACACTATATCAATAATAAACTATGTCGTAGCATATAAAAACAAACGATCTATTTTCGTTTTTAAACGTTATTTAAATTTCGGATTAGATTTACTTTATTCAAAAGTCCACACAAGCATCTGCAAAGGCACTTCAGCACCCAACGAATGCAGTTCCAAACCCATTCATACTGACACTCATTCTTAAATACAATCTGTACCAATCACATCATAATCATTCAATTGATAGAGGATTACTCGACATCCTTCCATAAACTTTTACAGATATCATATATAATTAACCTAATTGAGGGTCGATGGGGTACTCAGTATTCTGCCGTCGACCCTCTTAGATTACACCTTCACTCTAATAAATACACTTACTCGCAACATGCTGGGGGCACAAAGCTATATATCCTCAAGAATGTGAAACAGGGGACCCAAATACTCGCTGTCGTTGTCAAGCACAAATTTCATATCGGCTGGCATTCTTACGCGGTCTCTTTATGATGCCAAATAATTGTGCCCTTCAGATTGGTGGACACATCGAGCCACCCTTTTCTACATGTAGGGTACATACGCGGGCTTTGGTCCAAAAGTGAGTGACTTGCATGGACTATCCTGGCAATATTGAAATGAAATTTTTAATAGAATAAATATTAGTGTGTGATGTTTAGTGACCGTTAGTTAATGATTATTTGGAGATCGTGAGATGCGGTCTAATGTGACGTAGGTTTTAGAAAAACATTTTCTTTATCGTGCCAACGTTTCGATCTTTATTGAGATCATCTTCAGGGCTCAGGGGGAGAGGGGCACTCAACACGACACACGTAATGGCACAATTACGCAGAAAACAAACACTTTGAGTGAGTAGAAATACTTTGATTGAATATAAAAAAATATTTTTTTGAATTGTATAAATTCAATTTTTTCGACATCCTATATGTTTGTGTCCTATGTTTGTAAATCCCAGGCGCTGAAGATGATCTCAACAAAGATCAAAATGTTATCACGATAAAGAAAATGTTTTTCTAAAACCTACGTCACACCAGGCCGCATCTCACGATTTCCACATAATCATTGGCTAACGGTCACTAAACACCACACATTTCTACGCGAGAAAAATGAATAACATGGGATTCTATGAACTGATTTCTACTACATATGGACATCAAGCAAAGAGTGCCCTGAAGGACATCGCCAACAATAAAAAGAAGTTTGCATTGGCTATCAATTAGAGAACTTTTTTGTTGAAATGCAGAAAACACAAGGTATTTCCTACTTACATCAAAAACAACTTTAACTCCACAAATGCCACATTAACACAACCAACAGGAATTAACGACATTCATAAGGCCACAATATATTTCAAAAGAAACATTTTAAATATAGGGGCACATCTACACAGAAAAGAAACACTTCGAGCGCTGAAGATGATCTCAGTAAAGATCGAAACGTTGGCACGATAAAGAAAATGTTTTCTAAAATCTACGTGAAACCCGACCGCATCTCACGATCTCCAAATAATAAAATTAGTGATAAAAATGTATAAGTTTGCCTATGCTGTGTAAGTTAAGTCCCTCTCCCATACATTTTTTTATTGGAAAATTTTTGCGAAAATCCCGTGAAACACGTAAACATTTATTTTCTTATCTAGTTTCTCACGAGACGAAAGTTTTGATCTAACTCTCCACGAAAGTGGAATACGAATAAAGGCTTTACCATTTCAAATGCCAAGACACCCAAATTGTTCTATATAACATTTTTGAAAGGTTGTTTAACGCTGAATTCAACGGTTTTTAAGTTGGAGCAACAGTTTTTTTCAACAAAAA